AGGATGTGGGGAAGGTCTCAGGAGGGGGCAGTCAGGGGACAAGGCGTGGGGGGGAGGGTTGGGGGTTCTGAGTGGGCAGGAAGTGGGAGGGAGTGGAAGGGGAGGGGCGGGGCTAGGGCAGGACAGGGGCGGGGCTCCTCCCGTCCTCTTTTTTGATTGTTGAAATATGGTAACCCTAGTGTCCCTGCGGTGCAACCCCTCCCCCACCCCACAGATCGGGGGGCCCAACCTTTTCCAGACCAGGACCCTGCGATCCCCGCCTGGCACCAGCCCTGACAGAACGGGGTTAAGGGGGGCCCGATCAGCCAGTTAAGCTGCAAAGCGGAAGTGACTTAGGCTGCGTGCAGGGCGCTAGCTAGAAGGAAGCTCGCCTGGGAGGGGACAGGTGGGGCTTCTATACAGCCCGAGGGCTGGGCCCAGTGGTGGGGGCCTGTGGCAGGGGGGGCTAGGAAGCCCCGAGGGGGGTAGGAGCCCGGAGGAAGGGTTTCACTAGCAGGCATAGGAGAGAGGGGTCTGACTTTGAAAGGCTCCCCCAGAATGGAGATCACAGCGTGACCTGGCCGGACGGCCGAGATACGGGGCAGCCGCGACTCCGGGAGCTGCAATGGTGGAAGAGAAGAAAGGAGGCGCCGAACTGGAGCGAGTCACCAGAAGGGGGCGCCACACTCAGCGTTACAGACCCCAGCCTGATGGGTCCCTCCCCGTTCGGGATACACCCAGCACCGCCCCTCCCATGGAGCACTAGGAGAAGGGTGGGTGGGGCCTGGAGGCTGAGCTCCCCTGAGCCAGGGCTGAGACCCAGAGGGACCCCGTCCATGGGGGGTAGGGGGGCTGATGGTCCGTCCCAGACCAGTTCCCAGCTCGCTGCCCCCTCAGGCAAGACCTCTGCCTGTGTAACCCCAGACCCTGCCCAGCCCCCCCAGGTGCCTCCTCCATGCCCCCAGCAGCAGGACCCACCTTGGCACAGGGTCGTGTTTCTGTTGGAGGGGATGTAGCCGGCCCGGCACTCACACCGGTAGCTCCCGTAGGTGTTGATACACGCGGCGTTGGGGCTGCAGATATCTGGGGTCTTGCGACACTCGTCAATGTCTGAGAGGGGAAAGGATGTGTGTGTGTCACACACAGCACGGCTGGAGGCGCACGGGGGGTGAATGACCATGGAGGCTCCCCCCACCTATTGCAGGGGGCGTGGTCTGTTGGTCAGTCTGTCTGCTTCATCTAACACCCCCCATTCCATTCTCCTTTCTTCCCTGCTATTTGCAGGGCCCCAATCCCTACGGCAAAACCCCTCCCCCACCTCCAGATCGGGGGGCCCAACCTTTCCCAGACCAGGACCCTGCGATCCCCTCCCTGCATCAGCCCTGACAGAGCGGGGTTCAGGGGGGGCCCGATCAGCCAGTTAAGCTGCAAAGGGGAAGTGACTTAGGCTGTGTGCAGGGTGCTAGCTAGAAGGAAGCTCGCCTGGGAGGGGACAGTTGGGGCTTCTATACAGCCCGAGGGCTGGGCCCAGTGGTGGGGGCCTGAGGCGAGAGGGGCTAGGAAGCCTCAAGGGGGGCTAGAGGCCCCAGAGGAAGGGTTTCGCTAGCAGGGATAGGAGAGAGGGGTCTGACTTTGAAAGGCTCCCCCAGAATGGGGATCACAGCGTGACCTGGCCGGACGGCCGAGACCCAGGGCAGTTGCCACTCCGGGAGCTGCAATGGTGGAAGAGAAGAAAGGGGGCGCTGAACCGGAGCGAGTCGCCAGAAGGGGGCGCCACACTCAGCATTACAGACCCCAGCCCGAAGGGTCCTCTCCCCGTTCGGGATACACCCAGCACCGCCCCTCCCATGGAGCACTAGGAGAAGGGTGGGTGGGCTGTGCCCAGGGGAGTGCAGGGGAATTGGGTGGTGTCCCTTTAATCTAGTTTCTTTGCTCTCTGGTTGCACTCACGGAGGTCGATGGCAGAAGCCCGCAGACCCCCACATGCGGCCAGGCCCTGCACGGCTGGTAAACGGGTTGTTTGGAAGCCAGCTGGATCCAGGAGATCCCCCTATTCCTAACACTGCGCAGTGAGCAGCGGCCCGACAACGTCCATTCCCGGACCCTGCTGTGACCCCCAGGCCCAGGGCCCCGCGGGGCGAATCCACCGAGCCCTCGGACGGATGACACCAGCTCGACACTCGCTGCCGATCCGGCCTGTGGAAGCCGAAGCCAGAAGAGACCCGCCCAGCCTGACCCCCAGCATAGCCCCAGCCGGAGTCGCCGCCCAGCGGTTCAATTCTCCCCCCAGTCCTGTCTGGGGCAATGAGAGCTGGAGAAGCAGAGCTGGGACAAAACCCCCTTGAAGTCAGTGGTGCTGCACCAATTGACACCACTGGGGCTCTGGCCCCCGCTTTGTGACCATTTCACATACAGCAGCACTGAGTTGGTGGCAACGCATGGGGGACGGGCGCATCGTCAGTCATTCCCACGGGTTGGGGGAAGTGGTTGAGCCGCTGCGGAAATGGCCATGACCGATTCTCCCAGAAATCCCAGCCAGGAACAAGTGCTGGAATTCGACATTCACCTGCTTATTAACCCAACATTTCAGCCGTCCAATCAGGAAGCAGAGAAAGACCACGGGACTCAGGCAAACAACTGTACAACATCAGTGACAAGTTTTCGGAGCAAACAGTTTGCCAATAATGTCACAGACATTTATCCACCCAAACAGTCGAAGGGTCGGCTGGTGAACGAGCAGGTTTGGATCAGCATGCAGAGCTTTTCTGCTGACTCCCCCTGGCGTTCAGATCAGCAGTGGCCGATCAGTCACCATCCCAGGGGACAGATGGGTGCCGATCTTTCTTGAGGACGTAGAGGCAGGGCCACAGAAGAAAGCTAAGCTCTCCCCGATATTTTTGCTTCTCACAAAAATCCTTGTGGCTAAAATCCCCTTCTCCTGGACGTCAGCAAACAAGTCAATCAACGGGGAGAGTCAAGAGCACTCACGGGTCCTTCCTTTGGGCCGTGTTCCAGCAGCTCTGTCTCAGACTCCCCTTCTCTCTCTTTCCCATGACAGCGTTTTGCTATTTCCCGCTACACCCCTTCCCCTCGGTCGTTATTTGCATAAAGGCAGCACCCAGAGCGCTGCACACACACTGCCATAAAGAGCTTCTAGTCTAAATAAAGAAGAGGTGGGAGAGAAAACTGAGCAGGGAATTGCCCAAGGACTCTCAGCAGTAACAGAGCTGGGGCTAGAACCCAAGTCTCCATCTCACACCCAACCTACTAGACCTGTCTCTTTCACCTTGTTTCCTTCATAAAAGGCCAAGAATGTGTCTCCACTGCCTCACCATGTAGATTTTACCCTCTGCTCCCCCTCAGTGAGAGGAGCTTTGTGTCTCCTGGCTCACGGCCGGGAGTGCATCAGGGCTGGAAAAAATCCATTGTTCTTTGGCAGGAAACTCAACTTTTGCTACATTGTTAAACCTCTTGGAAGGCAATGGGCCTACGCCAGGCCTCTGAGGGGCTTGTATGGGCCAGCCTCTAGCGAAGGCCACTGAGCCATGGAAGAAGGAGAGAGCAAGTTTGTCCTGCTCTAGTGGCTGGTTCCCATAAGTAGATAACAGCCTGCTACAATGACTTGTTACTGGAGTTACTCCGTTAGCTCCAGCAGCTGCGATGTGCGCTTTCAGCAGGTAGTTCCTGGGTTTGATTCCTGCTGATGACCCAAGCTGGCTCCTTTGTGATACCAGCTCCTTCCCCAGCATTAGCAGCTGTTTAGGTTAATGGGGTTCCAGAAACTACTGGGCTTTTTGAGTCCAAGCTCCAACACAGATTCCTTGGCTCTGTCTCAGCCCAGTTTACTGCAAAGACCTGACCTGCCCCCACCTCAAAGCTCTGCTACGAAAGAGCATCTTGGGCTCTGATTGCAGCTGCAGGTTTGGGGGGATGTTGCAGCTTCTAATGACATCCCCAATGCCCTACGCTGGTGCTGCGGTGGAATTAAGCAGCATGGCAAGAGACATGGCGACCTTCAGTCCCCGGGCTCAGTTTCCAATGTGTAAGACAGGCTGGGAGTCTGAACAGACACTGCCCGGGTGTGGCGCAGAGAAAGAGCGAGAACTCAGGGCAATCTGGTTAGTTTCCCCATCCAGGCATGCAGGTTAGTGTCAGAGATCCTGGGTCAGCTCAGTGGCCGTGTATTAACAGCATCGCCAACGCCAAGCAATCAATAAAAGTCCCAAACCCTGAGCCAGGCTGAAAAAAAGTCACAAAATTGGTTTAAAAATCATGAGATTTTTAAAAAAAATCCATTTTGGGGTTCGTTTTGTTTGACTCTGGTTTGGGAGCTGTTGGTCACCCCACTGTAATGTTTGGCAGTTTTTCCTCTGCCATATGGGCCAGGCCCTAATTTTGATTTTAGCCAAAAGCAGAATCACGGGACTCTGGGAGGTGGGGCTTTAAGGAAACGCCACGCGTTAGCAACACTGCAGAAAGCCAGAAACATCATGCCTTTGTCACGACTGTTTCCAGCTTCCGTTGTACCTGTGCACATCTTAGATGGATCCTTTAGACTCTTCCCAAATCCCCAACTGCATTTACACATGTAGCTCCCTGGCATGTTGATGCAGGTCCCGTGGGGCTCACAGATTGTGGTGTTTCGCCGGCACTCGTCAATGTCTGCAAGGAGAGAGAAAGCGCTAGGTCAGGCTGATCAAGGAGCTGTACCTTGGGCACTGGAGTGACGCTGCTGGGGGATAATCCAGGCGTCCGACATGCACCGTGCTCTGGGGAATGGGGCTGGTTAGAGCCAGGAGTTCAGTTACTGGGTCAGTGACCGGGAGCGAGTTGGCTATTGTCTGGAATGAGCCGCTCCAGCTGGAAAGGGAAAAGCAGCCCTGCCAGGACACGCGCACTGTGTTGAGCGCACTGTGCTGTATGTGGACTATCCATGAGCTTCCCAGGCTCAGGGGCACTAGCAGCCTGGATTCTGTGTGCTGGGGACAGCGAGGGCCCCACCCGTCTCCCCGACGCTGGGGCAGCAGTTGAGGGTCACGGCTGATCACAGCCCCGGTGAGTGGATCCGGTGCCTTTGCTGCAGCCACAGGCAGCCTCTGGCACAGCACCAGGCCTGGAATGAGCCCAGTGGTGTGAGTATGGGGGGCGGAGGGGACTGAGCAGGGTGAGGTGGGGGCCAGGGGAGAGCTCAGCCTGGCAGGTGTCCCCACTCGCGTGTGTGAAGTTGCCTTTCCCAGAGCTGGGCTCGTAGCCGTCGATGCAGGTGCAGGAGTAATTCCCAGGCGCATTGGTGCAGTTTGCGTGGGGTCCGCAGTCTGCCGGGCTCAGGCCCTGACACTCGTCAATATCTGCAGCACAAGAGGGGACGCTCTGTACAGTCCTGGCAGGGGTCTCCTGTACTGAGCTGGGTGATGGGACCCAGGCAACTGGGACCCTGGGAGCTTAACAATCACAGGCCTGATTCTCAGCTACACTAAGGCCACACTTGGCTGCTCTGGCAGCGGAACGGCCACTCGAGAATATGGTGTATTGAAAACTGTGTTAGCATCACAAGCTCTCACTTTACTTCTGCAAGGGGCTTTCCTGGACCTGCTTGCGGAGTAGGGGGCTCGGGTGAGAAGCATGTGATCTGGGGTTTTCAGCCGGGTGTCTGCTGAAGAGCCCAGCCTAGAGCCAAGTGGGGTTAGTTGTGCCCATCGGCCTTCAGGAGCAGCCTGCTTTGTCTCTCTCTGTTCGGGGTCCTCGTGTGCTGGGGTTCCGGATTCTAAGAATAACCCTGTGTTGAGCTGCAGCCTGCAAGCGAGAGGATGTTTCTAACTGTGGGTGCGCTGTGAACATAACAGAAGGAAGGGGACCTTCCGACTCCAGAACAGCCACTGTGGCCTCTATTGGCCAAGCCCCAATGGGGCCAAGATTTGGGGAGATTTAGGAGTCCATGTGTGAAGCTGAGTTGCCCAAGGGGTGGGAACACTGGGACTTGGCAGAAATCCCCCTCAGGTTCCAGTCACAGAGGAACACACAGGCATTGCCAGCCTGGGTCAGCCCACAGGTTCATCTACCCCGGTTTCCCGTCTGCAATGGGTGCTACAGTGGAAAGTGTAAGAGTCCCGCAGCAGCAGCCGGGGGATAATCTGCCCCCATGAAGGTCTCCTCCTGGTCTCTACTAGTCAGAGTTCGGCTAAAGCCCTGAAGTGGGAGCTTTTCCCTCCCTCCCAGAATTACTGCCCATTAACTAGCACAGCTCCAAGCATTGTCGTTCCCCATAGAAACAGACAGTCCCTCTTTAAAACTCAACACATTCACAGCCTCCAGGCCGCGGTAGCAGTGAGTTCCAGAGGCTACTGCTGCCCAGGGTGGAGGAGTATTTCCTTGTATCTGCTTTGAATTTGCCCCTTTCCAATTCAATTCAATCCTCACACTGCCCCTTGCTCATTGGAATTTATAAAGCTTGTGATTTTCTAAGCGAATCTGATTTTGTTTAGTGCCTGGGATTGTCGTCAGGAGCTCAGCCATGCACTTGAGACCCACTGGAGCCGAGTTAAGTGCTTAGCTGGGCAGGGCTGGAGCTAAGCATGTGCTTTGCTGACTTGGAGGGCTCAGGGAGCACAGACAGGGACCAGCACAAAGCGATTTAGCAGCTGGCAGCTTCCCGCGTCCCCCGGTGGAGACACCCGCATGTGGGTATCCCCTGCCAGGGGACTGGCACTGGTGCATGTGACAGCTTCAGCAGCGCAAAGGGGTCTCCAAATCCACTGGCCTGCGAGCCCAGAGAGACCTCTCGGTCTGTGCCCTGGGCAAACTCCCTGTTCTGGGGGAGCAACGCAGAGCTGGCCAGCCCATGTGTCCCCGTGCCATGCCGCTGGAAGCCAGGGTGCCTCAGGGAAGCCTGGGGCTGGGCTGGCAATGCCAATCACAGCACATGGCCCCTCACAGCCCTGCCCTCCAGGGAGCTTGGGGCAGTGGGAGGGTCCCTCGAACTAGCAGCTGCACCCCCTAGTGGCCAGATGAGAGCATGGCTGCCCGCCCCCAGTGGAAGCGGGGTCTGGCTGGGTAGGTGCATGCACCAGAGCCAGGCACACAGAGTAGAACTCACTCCCCCCAGCAGGGGGCAGCAGGGACACACAGAACAGAACTCATTCCCTCCAGCAGGGGCCGGCAGCAGCCTCCCCTCACTCCCCCCAGCAGGGACATACCCAGCCCGTCAGTGATATGGGTGTAATAGATCCTCTCCCAGCAGGGGGAGCAGTGACCTCCCCAGCCCCACACATGTGCCCAGCCCCTTCTCCCCATCCTCTGCTCACAAGCTGGTCTCTGTGAAAGGAATCCCTCCCCCCTCCCCGTCCTAGGGGACTGAGCCGCAGTGGGGTGGGGCGGGGGCTGTGGAATCATCCCAGCCGTATCTCCCCTCAACCCTCTCCCCCCAGCTGTGAGTGGTTCTGATGTGTTTGGGGTCCTGGCGGGGAGGAAGAATCCAGCAGGGAGCCCCGGGCTGGCCCCACAGTGGCCTCTAGGCACAGACTGCGCCCCCTGCTGCCATCTTCCCAGGGCAGAGAATCCAGCCGTGCAGCAGGAAAGCAGGCACTGCTGGGGGAGAGGGAGAGACGCCCGGCCCCTGGCTGCCCTGCTCACCCCCCCCCCGCGGGAGGTGAGGGCCTGGAGGCTGAGCTCCCCGAGCCAGGGCTGAGACCCAGAGGGACCCCGTCCATGGGGGGCAGGGGGGCTGGCGCATCATCCCAGACCAGTTCCCAGCTCTCTGCTCCCTTGTAACCCCAGGCCCTGCCCAGCCCCCCAGGTGCCTCCTCCATGCCCCCAGCGGCAGGACCCACCTTCGCACAGGGTCGTGTTTTTGTTGGAGGGGACGTAGCCGGCCCGGCACTCACACCAGTACCTTCCGTAGGTGTTGATACACGTGGCGTTGGGGCCGCAGATATCTGTGGTCTTGCGGCACTCGTCGATGTCTGGGAAGGGATAGTGGGGAGGGGGTCACACAGCAGAGCTGGGGGCACATTAGGGGGTGAATGACCATGGAGGCACCTCCCACCGATAGCAGGGGGCGTGGTCTGTCGGTCAGTCTGTCTGCTCCATCTAACCCCCCCCTTCAATTCTCCTTTCTTCCCTCATATTGGCAGGGCCCCAATCCCTGTGGCACAACCCCTCCCCCACCACCCAGATCAGGGGCCCAACCTTTTCCAGACCAGGACCCTGCGATCCCCTCCCTGCACCAGCCCTGACAGAGGAGGGTTAAGGGGGGGGAGCGATCAGCTAGTTAAGCTGCAAAGGGGAAGTGACTTAGGCTGCGTGCAGGGCGCTAGCTAGAAGGAAGCTTGCCTTGGAGGGGACAGGTGGGGCTTCTCTACAGCCCGAGGGCTGGGCCCAGTGGTGGGGGCCTGAGGCAAGGGGGGCTAGGAAGCCCCGAGGAGGGGCTAGGAGTCCTGGAGGAAGGGTTTCACTAACAGGCATAGGAAAGAGGGGTCTGACTTTGAAAGGCTCCCGCAGAATGGGGATCACAGCGTGACCTGGCCGGACAGCCGAGACCCGGGGCAGCCACGACTCCGGGAGCTACAATTATAGAATATCAGGGTTGGGAGGGACCTCAGGAGATCATCTAGTCCAACCACCTGCTCAAAGCAGGACCAATCCCCAACTAAATCATCCCAGCCAGGGCTTTGTCAAGCCTGACCTTAAACACCTCTAAGGAAGGAGATTCCAGCACCTCTCTAGGTAACCCATCCCAATGCTTCACCACCCTCCTAGTGGAAGCATTTTTCCTAATATCCAACCTACACCTCCCCCACTACAACTTGAGGCCATTACTCCTTGCTCTGTCATCTGCTAACTGAGAACAGTCTAGATCCATCCTCTTTGGAATCCCCCTTGAGGTAGTTGAAAGCAGCTATCAAATCCCCCCTCATTCTTCTCTTCTGCAAACTAAACAATCCCAGTTCCCTCAGCCTCTCCTCATAAGTCATTTGCTCCAGCCCCCTAATCATTTTTGTTGCCCTCCGCCGGACTCTTTCCAATTTTTCCACATCCTTCTTGTAATGTGGGGCCCAAACCTGGACACAGTACTCCAGATGAGGTCTCACCAATGCCGAACAGAGGGGAATGATGATGTCCCTCAATCTGCTGGCAATGCTCCTATTTATACAGCCCCAAATGCCATTAGCCTTGTTGGCAACAAGGGCACACTGTTGACTCATATCCAGCTTCTCGTCCACTGTAATCCCTAGGTCCTTTTCTGCAGACCTGCTGCCTAGCCATTCGGTCCCTAGTCTGTAGCAGTGAATGGGATTCTTCCGTCCTAAGTGCAGGACTCTGCACTTGTCCTTGTTGAACCTCATCAGATTTCTTTTGGCCCAATTCTGTAATTTGTCTAGGTCCCTCTGTATCCTATCCCTACCCTCCAGCATATCTACCACTCCTCCCAGTTTAGTGTCATCCGCAAACTTGCAGTGTCATCATTAATGAATGGAAGAGAAGGGGGCACTGAACTGGAGCTAGTTGCCAGAAGGGGACACCACGCTCAGTGTTACAAACCCCAGCCATTCGGAATACACCCAGCACCGCCCCTCCCATGGAGCACTAGGAGAAGGGTGGGTGGGCTGCGCCCAGGGGAGTGCAGGGGAATTGGGTGGTGTTCCTTTAAACTAGTTTCTTTGCTCTCTGGTGGCTCACGGGGGTCGATGGCAGAAGCCCGCAGACCCCCACATGCGGCCAGGCCCTGCACAGCTGGTAAACGGGTTGTTTGAAGGCAGCTGGATCCAGGGGATCCCCCTATTCCTAACACTGTGCAGTGAGCAGCGGCCCGACAACGTCCATTCCCGGACTCTGCTGTGACCCCCAGGCCCGGGGGCTCATGGAGTGAATCCACTGAGCCATCAGAAGCTAGCCAAATGCTGGAGGGCCGTGAACTCACCAGGCTGCCAACGCAGGTAGCGCCAGCTGCCAGGCAAAGGGGGATACACGGGGGATGTCGGGGCTCCATGGCGCAGCGGGGTCACTCACCCTGTGCAGGGAGTGGGGTTTTCTACCTAGGGACCCGGCATGTATGTGCAGAGACGCACTCATTCTGTCCGCTAAGCTCTCCCTGATATTCATTCATACCGCTTTTGCTTCTCATAGAAATCCTTGTGGCTAAAATCCCCTTCGCCTGGACACCAGAGGAGCTTTGTGTCTCCTGGCTCACAGCCGGGAATGCATCAGGGCTGGAAAAAATCCCTTGTTTCTTTGGCAGGAAACACAACTTTGCTCTATTATTAAACCTTTTGGAAGGTAACAGGCCTATGCCATGCCTGTGAGGGGCTCGTATGTGCCAGCCTCTAGCAAAGGCCGAGAGCCACGGAACAAGGAGATAGCAAGTTTGTCCGGGTCTAGTGGCTGGTTCCCATAAGTATAAAACAGCCTGCTACAATGACTAGCTAATAGAGTTACTCCCTTAGTACCAGCAGCCGAGATGTGTTTGGGAGGATGCTGCAGCTTCTAATGACATCCCCAATGCCCTACGCTCCTGCCTCAGGGGAATTAAGCAGCATGTCAAGAGACATGGCGACCTTCAGTCCCCGGGCTCAGTTTCCAATGTGTAAGACAGGCTGGGAGTCAGAACAGACACTGCCCGGGTGTGGCGCAGAGAAAGAGCGAGACCTCAGGGCAACCTGGTTAGTTTCCCCCTCCAGGCATGCAGGTTAGTGTCAGAGATCCTGGGTAAGCTCAGTGACCGTGCATTAACAGCATCGCCAACACCAAGCAATCAATAAAAGCCCCAAACCGTGAGCCAGGCTGCTGAAAAGTCATGAGATTGGTTTAAAAATCATGCGATTTTTTAAAAAAATCCATTTTGGGGTTCGTTTTGTTTGACTCTGGTTTGGGAGCTGTTGGTCACCCCACCGTAACGTTTGGCAGTTTTTCCTCTGCCATGTGGGCCAGGCCCTAATTTTGATTTTAGCCAAAAGCAGAATCACGTGACTCTGGGAGGTGGGGCTAAAGGAAACGCCACGCGTTAGCAACACTGCAGAAAAGCCAGAAACATCATGCCTTTGCCACGACAGTTTCCAGCTCCCATTGTACCTGTGCAGCTCTTAGACGTATCCTTATGACTCCTCCCAAATCCCCAACTGCATCTACACATGTAACTCCCTGGCATGTTGATGCAGGTCCCGTGGGGCTCACAGATTGTGGTGTTTCGCTGGCACTCGTCAATGTCTACAAGGAGAGAGAAAGTGCTAGGTCAGGCTGATCTAGGAGCTGTACCTTGGGCACTGGGGTGAGGATGCTGGGGGATAATCCAGGTGTCCGACATGCACCATGCTCTGGGGAGACGGGGCTGGTTAGAGCCAGGAGTTCAGTGACTGGGTCAGCGAACGGGAGCAAGGTGGCTATTGTCTGGAATGAGCCGCTCCAGCTGGGAAGGGAAAAGCAGCCCTGCCAGACACGCGCACTGTGCTGTATGTGGACCATCCATGAGCTTCCCAGGCTCAGGGGCACTAGCAGGTTGGATTCTGTGTGTTGGGGACAGCGAGGGCCCCACCTGTCTCCCCGGCACCTCCCTGCAAACCTAGGGGTTTATTCATAATTCAATCACTGAGGCAGGGGAGATCCTGGCCCCACACGCTGGGGCAGCAGTTCAGGGTCATGGCTGATCACAGGCCTGGTGAGTGGATCCGGTGCCTTTGCTGCAGCCGGCAGCAGCCCCGGTGCAGTGCCAGGCCTGGAATGAGCCCTGGGGTGTGTGTATGGGGGGCAGGGAGGACTGAGCAGGGTGCGGTGGGGGACAGGGGAGAGCTCACCCTGGCAGGTGTTGTCACTCGCGTGCGTGAACTTGGCTTTCCCAGAGCTGGGCTCGTAGCCATCGATGCAGGTGCAGGAGTAATTCCCAGGCACATTGGTGCAGTTTGTGTAGGGTCCACAGTCTGCCGGGCTCAGGCCCTGACACTCGTCAATATCTGCAACACAAGAGGGGATGCTCTGTACAGTCCTGGCAGGGAGACGTTCCTGTATCACCCACCTGTACTGAGCTGGGTGACGGGACCCAGGTGACCAGGCCCATGGGAGCTTAACAATCACAGGCCTGATTCTCAGCTACACTTAGGCCACATTTGGCTGCTCTGGCAGCGGAACGGCCACTCGAGAATATGGTGTATTGAAAACTGTGTTAGCATCAGAAGCTCTCACTTTACTTCTGCAAGGGGCTTTCCTGGACCTGCTTGCGGAGTAGGGGGCTCGGGTGACAAGCATGGGATCTGGGTTTTCAGCCGTGTGTCTGCCGAAGAGCCGAGCCTAGAGCCAAGTGGGGTTAGTTGTGCCCGTCTGCATTGAGGAACAGCCTGGTTTGTCTCTCTCTGTTCGGGGTCCTCGTGTGCTGGGGTTCTGGAGTCTAAGAAATAACCCTGTGTTGAGCTGCAGCCTGCCAGCGAGAGGATGTTTCTAACTGTGTGTGTGTGTGTGTCACATCACAGTGTGCCGTGAACATAACAGAGGGAAGGGGACTTTCTGACCCCAGAACAGCCACTGTGGCCTCTATGGGCCAAGCCCCAATGGGGCCAAGATTTGGGGAGATGTAGGAGTCCATGTATGATGCTGAGTTGCCCAAGAGGTGGAACACTGGGACTTGGCAGAAATCCCCCTCAGGTTCCAATCACAGAGGAACACACAGGCATTGCCAGCCTGGGTCAGCCCCAGGGCCCATCTACCCCGGTATCCCGTCTGCGACAGGTGCTACAGAGGAAGGTGTAAGAGTCCCGCAGCGGGAGCCGGGGGATAATCTGCCCCCGTGAAGGTCCCCTCCTGGTCTCTAATAGTCGGAGTTCGGCTGAAGCCCTGAAGTGGGAGCTTTTCCCTCCCTTCCAGAATTACTGTCCATTAACTAGCACAGCTCCAGGCATTGTCGCTCCCCATAGAAACAGCCTGTCCCTCTTTAAAACTCGAGACGTTCACAGCCTCCAGGCCGCGGTAGCAGTGAGTTCCAGAGGCTACTGCTGCCCCGTGTGGAGGAGTATTTCCTTTTATCTGCTTTGAAGTTGCCCCCATTTCAGTTCAATTCAATCCACACTCTGCCCCTTGCTTATTGGTCTTTCTAAAGCTCGTGATTTTCTAAGCGAATCTGATTTTTTTTTTAGTGCCTGGGATTGTCGTCACGAGCTCAGCCATGCACTTGAGACCCACTGGAGCCATGTTAAGTGCATAGTTGGGCAGGGCTGGAGCCAAGCATGTGCATTGCTGACTCGGGGGGCTCAGGGAGCACAGACAGGGACCAGCACAAAGCGATTTAGCAGCTGGTATTGCCGGCATTGCTAAAACCCAGTGACTGTGTAACCACATCCCAGCACAAGATTCCCCTGCCTGGCGCACGATAAGATGGTTTAACGGATGGGGAATGTTTTGTCTGAAGCATCAAGAGAAAGGCACAAGGGGGGGGGGTAACAAGCATGTTGTGAAACACACAAGCTGGGATGTAGGTTGTTTATCCCGGATGGTTTGTCTCAGTCTGTAACTGTCGGGGTACATTGTCAGAGGCAGACGTGTGGCCGCATCCCTGTGGCATCTCTGGGCGCTGGCACCGGGCTGCATTGGCGATAAACTTGGCCGAGCACCTTTGCCACTGATCCAATGCTGTGGGGTGTCTGGACACTTCAATGGAGGTCTGCCGGGCTGGGGTGACCAGACAGGAACAGCTCCTGTGGAATCGCTCCCCATCCGGACACTCTGGTCTGGAATAATCAGTGCGCTTCCAAAGAGAACAGCGATCGCCATCAATTCCCCCGGGGGCAAGCCCTAGGGATTCTCCACACGGCTCCCGATACCAGCTATCCCCGGACAATCCCCGGGACGCTGGCTGAGATACCTGCGGTGCTGATTTCTTCTTGTGCCTAGACCTGCCCCAGGACACTGGCTGGGGTTATCCCACGCGGCCGGGGGCTGGGCGCAGGAACGGCTGGGCGAGGTCTCTGCCAGGGGAAGCGTTTGAACCAATGGGCTCCTGAGTTCTCCCAGTTCGACGGGCCCGGTGCTCTGCGCCCCCCAAACGAGGGTGTAAAGGGCGGTTTCCATGGGAACGGCCGGCTAGGACTTGATACAAGCTCTAATTACTGGCTGAACATTGCAGACAAGGGCCTGGAACGCCCTGACCCCTTCTCCGGTCAGGCCGCCCCAGCTGCCTAAGGGGGCATAATGGCCCCCATGGGAAACACCCTCCCATCCAGGGGGCTCTGTCAGTGTGGGGCTGGAAAAGGTTCTGCTCCCAGCCCTGAGGGAGGGGGCAGATTGGGGGCGTGGCCGGGGTGCCCTGCACTGGGGCTATTCCCTGCTCCCCAAGGCCCATGGGGGGCAAAGCGCACTGTGCTGTATGTGGACCATACACAAGGCCCCTTCCCAGGCTCGGGGTCACTAGCAGGTTGGATTCTGTGTGCTGGGGACAGCGAGGGCCCCACCCGTCTCCCCGGTGCCTCCCTGCAAACCTAGGGGTTTATTCCCAATCCAATCACCGAGGCAGGGGAGATCCTGGCAGCAGTTGAGGGTCACAGCGCATCACAGCCCGGTGAGTGGATCCGGTGCCTTTGCTGCAGCGCCAGGCCTGGAATGAGTCCACGAATGTGTGTATGCAGTGCCGGGGCAGGGGGGCGGGGGCGTTAACTGAGCAAGGTGTGGTGGGGCAAGGGGAGAGCTAGGGTTACCATTCGTCCGGATTTACCCGG